TTAAAGAGGCCAGACTATAGACCCCTATTTAAGGTTTGACTTATTTTCATCCCTAATCACTACAAAAAAAGTGTAAAATAATGACTGAATTTAGCGATCGAAAAAATTAGTATCATTACCACCATTGTCGTTGATGCAACGCCACCACTACTACCACCACCATTGTCATAACCACCATCACCATTATTGACAATGGTGGTGGTGATGTGGCAACAATGTGGTGGTGGTGGTGACAACGATAGTTGCAATGATGATCACAATTGATAGACCATGGACCAAGGGTCCAGTGACTAGAGCTATGGCTAGAAGAATACAGGAAGAGTTGGACCTTGTGAAGACTAGTGGGCTTGTCAAGCCCAAGGTAATCTTCACTTGGAATGCTCTATCATGAAGAGAAGGCCTAGTTCTACTTGTATATATTGTATAGTTTTCAAATAGTCTTTTGTATAGGTTATTTTTGCCTTTGTATTTGTGAGGCACTTTATTTGCTTTTGTTAGTGTTTGTATATTGATTTCAAGGTAGGTTACTTGGAGAGTTTAACTCCATTTAACCTCCCTAGTTGATACATTCATTTTGTATTTTTTCAGTAGGGAAAAGGGGGTGACATTTAGCAATGCTTGGGGTGTGATTAGTAATTGGGCCAGAACTGGGCCTAGGCAAAATTTTGCATATTGGACTCATTTTGCTCCTAATTTTTCATAGATTTGATTTAGCTAGGTCTCATCATCATATGATGAACCTAACTAAACCAAATCAAATTTTTTCAAATTAAATCATGGAGCCAAATGCATCCAAGGCCGCCTAGCTAGTTTCTTCCTCCTTGGCCGAAAATTACTTGTCTCACTTCAAAGGTTGGAAGCTTGCCTTGCAAACTTCTAAACCTTTGTAAGGTTAGCTTACCTTACCATGGTTCTTAAGTGAACCATGGTCAAGGTTAGCTTCTCCTACAAGCTAGCTAAACCGTGGGAGTTTAAGTTAACCCTACCATGATTCCTAATGAACCATGGTTAAGGTTAGCTTCTCCTACAAGCTACCTCTCCCTATATATTTGTTTTCTCTACACTTGTACTCATTTTTGAACATTTGAGAAATAAAATTCTGATTTCTCTCTCAAGAGTCCCTCTCCAAAACCGAATGAGAACCTTCTCTCCTAGGTTTTCTAGCAAAGTTTTTCAACTTTGCCTTGGTTCCTCAAGCTTCCTTCACAAGCTTTAGGAAGTGGCCAAACCTCCTCTAAGACTTCTCCTCCATTGAAGATTCTTCAAAGGAGTTTTCAGAGGTCTCAAGGTGTCAACCTCAAGAAGCATCACGGTCCAAGCATGGAACTATTGGAGAACATCAATTTTCTTCACCTAGCTCCATCAACAATGATAATAATAAAGGCAACTACAATAGTGGTGGTATGTGGTAAATTTTGTTTTTGATAATTTTTTAATCTAAGTTGTTTTTTTGTTATTTCCATTGTGATCCTAAACCCTAAACCACCATCACCATCGTGATTGCTACCATCACCATCATCGTCACTAACACCACTATCATCACGATCATCATTATTGCCACCATTGTCGTTGTTATTGCCTCTATCACCATCACCATTTCCACTATCGTAGCCACTATTATCATTGTTGTCACTATCATCATCATCACCATCCCAACCACCTTTGTCGTTGTCGTAACCCCTCCTTACCACCACCATCTTCATCGCCACCACCCTCATTGTTGCCATCACAACCACTTGGATTGATCCTATGTGAACATACTTATACTTCTTAATGTGTTCATCTATCAATTGTCGAGAAATTAAATGAATTTTTTCATGGTGAGATGGGATCTCTATTTTTTTTTCAATAGTTTTAATGACATACTCACCTTTCAACAAATCTTTTAAATTCTTGGAATACAAATTGGAAATTTCTAACTTAGGTAATTTCCATTTGTTCAATTAAGTTTATATTTATGAAATTCTAAGTTTGTGGTGGATGATATGGTTTTGTACTTCTTCCTGATTCTTTTTCCTTATTAGATAACATCTTAATTAACCTAGACATTGTTGTGGCTTAGTTCTAATTTCTATTGGTACCACCTAGGTTGACCAATAGTTTTACTGCCTCACCTTTGGGACTTATTATTGAGACAACATATTGGCTAACTAACACCAAAACTTATCTCCTCACCACACACAAGATTTATGGCTAATTAACAAGTTAAATAGTAAGAAACAATGCTCCCAAATATAGATTTATAACAATTTAAAATAAAAACCATACAACACAAAACAAAATAAAAAATTCTTATAAGAAACAACTTAATGAAACAAGTCAAACTTAGGATAATGTAAAAAATTATACGACCATATATTTCTCTAGCAAGATTCAAATCGTTAGGCTCTAATATCATTTCTATCTTAGAGTATGCATAATAATGCAACATAAAGGATTTAAATAAGAGAGGAAGTAATTGAAAGAGAAACTTATTTACGTATAAAATATTTCTAGAGTACAAGAAGGGAATTACAAAGGAAAATTAAAGAAGAAGATTTTGGAATATTTTGGGAAAAGGGATAAAAAGGCTTTGATCGACGATGAACTAATTGATGCCCCCTCTTTACAATGGAAGGTATCTATAATGTTAAAAATTGTAGATCTCAGCCGCAAAATTCAAAACTAATTGATAAACAAGAACCACACTATTAAGAGATAAGATTCCTTCTGAAGATAAGCTTTTGTCGCTTGTAGTAGTTGGTCGACAAGTCTTGATAAAATTCAATTCTTCTTGAAAGGGAAGTTTCAATAAGCCATTTGTCGTTTCTCCCAACAATTTTAATTGGCTTACTAAAGAATCTTCAACTTTTGACTGTTTTTATTTTTCTTTTCTTTTTCTTTCAATTTCTTTTCTTTTTCAGTGAGTGGGTTTTGCTTCTAATCTGTCTAGGTTAGAATCTTTGAGATTTTTAATTTGGAATAAAAAACTTTGGTAGGATATTAACAATCAACTTTTGGGATGATTTATATAGACCAGGTATCAAACAAAATAAATTGATAAAAAAATTTATTTTTCTTGAGGGATTGATCCTTAATTAGGAATCTACCCACATCCTCTTGAAGACAATTTGGATATAATTTGGTAAGGGTCCAGACCCTCAAATCCCTTTTCCAAGGATATAATTCTCTAACACTAATCTTTGATAATATATTCTACGGGAGACTCATCTAAGGCTTTGTGTTCTATGGGCAATTGAGGATTATTTAATAGAGAAAATTTATTGGATGTTCCTATAGTGAAACCAAGGGTAGTTAAGGTATTTAGAAGTTTTTTGGTACTTGAGGGGGGTGACTTTTGATGTATTTCCTATGTTAACTTTTGAGAATGAAGGGGCAACGTCGTTCAAGGACAAGCTCTTAGACAATGGAGATGCCAATAGTCTCATTTTCCTATAAAATTCTCTTTTTAAAAAAAATGGAATATAATTATTTTTTCCTTTAACGAATTCTATTTCAAAATCAAAACAAGATAACAAACTTTGTCATCTAGTAAAAATTTGTTTTGAAATAATATTTTTAACATCCTTTTTTTTAAATTTCTTTGGCTGATTTGCAATCAATTCGAAGTAAAAATCTTTTATTTATCAAATCATTTTGAAATTTGGTAATGTATAAAATAATAGATAAAATTTCTTTTTTGATAGTACTATAATTAAGCCGACTCTCATTCCATGTTTCATAATGGAAATTTACTATTTGTTCAGAGTTATTTCTTAATTTTTATTTCTTAATTTTTGTTTTAGGATGCCTCCAAATCCTAATTCAAAAGCATCAATTTTTTACAATCACAGAAGCTTTAGATGAGCTATTCTAGACAAGACAATGACTTGACTAAGAGTTTAACCTCTTTTACGGTGATGTCTCTGATAGTCAAATTTGATAAGTGGTCCATCCGTGCTGCATGTTTAGGCTTTAGGATGACCGTAGATATAATATTAAAATATTGAACGGTTGAGACTATGATGTAATGAGTAAGATTTAAGAATTGCAGAGTAGTCCTTGTAATTTATATATTTGTCCGTGTTTTATAGGTTTATGAAGGGTTTTGGTGTTGTTTAGGGTTTTCCATCATCAGTTGATTTGCGATCTGGTTACTGTGGTGTTTTGGTTGTAGCAGTTCCAATTAGCAGGTGCGATAGGCGGTGGCGTCATTTTGTGGAGAGCATCTTCGAAGTGGGCCTCCGACGGCCCGTCCATTGTTGTTGGTGGTAGTCCGCAATCGGTGCGAAGATTTGTTAGGTTTAACAGGTGAGCAATCGATTTTGTTTATTTTTGAAACCTAAAATGTCACGTACAAAAGGAAGCCATTTTGGAGGTTAACGTTTTTTGTTTATTTTGCATTTGATTTTATATGTATGTGCAATTTTGTTGATACATCTGTTGCTGGTGTGTACAGTTAATAGAGAGATTAATTGTTGTGGAAGTCTTTTGAGGTTCATATATTGATTTATTGTTATTAAACGTGAACGTAGAATGGAGTTTGAGAATTCAAGTATAGAGGTAAGTGACATTTGTGTCATGTTTAGGATTGTGTCCTTCAATATTGCGTTGTGTCATGTGTTTCCTAACTGTGATGATGAAGGTTGATATTGTTTTTAATTTTGTGATGGTCTTAAAAGGTTTAATTGAGGATTAAAATTTTTTAGGTGGCAGTAGATAATTGTGAAAGCATAAATGAAGGAGTAGATAATTTTGAAGGCATAAATGAAGGAGTATTTAATTTTGAAGGAATAAATGAAGGAGAAGATAATATAAATGAGAATGAGGAAGATGAGAATTTGGTTATTGATTTACAGGAAATTTGTGAAGAATAAGTGGAAAATGTTGTTAATGAAGGAAGATTTGAGGTTTTTGACAGTGAAAACGGGGTGATAGTTTCTACTTTGGATGATATTTTTAATTTAGATTTGCATTTAAGTCCCCATGAGCTTAGGAATGTTCAATTTGTAAGTGTTGAGATGGCTTACTTATTTTATTACTGGTTTGCAAGAGTTAATGGATTTGCCGCAAGAAAGAGCAAGATTTTGAGAAATATTAAGGGGGAAAAATTACAACAAACATTTGTTTGTTTCAAGGAAGGATTTAGAGATAACCGTGGTTTGAACATACAGAATCGAAAGCGAAAGCAAACACCGGAGACAAGGTGCGGATGTGAAGCAAAACTAAGAGTGCATATTGATAGCAGATGTGGACTATGGTACATTACATATTTTGTGGATGACCACAACCATAGTCTTTTGGAAGATAAGTATTGTAGAATGTTAGCTTCTCATAGAGATATGAGTGAGTTAGATATAATGCAGTTGAATAAAATGAGAAAAGTTGGCATAAGTAGTCCTCAAATTTATGGGTCACTTGCAGATCAGCCTGGAGGGTATGAGAGACTTTCTTTTTGTAAAAAGGACATATACAATCAAATTGGAAGGCAAAGAAGGTTGCAAGGTTTGGATTCAAAATGTGCGTTGGAATTTTTGAATGGTTTAAAACGCAGTGATCCTTTAATGTATGTTGGTCACACTGTTGATGAGGAAAACAGATTGCAACATTTGTTCTGGTGTGATGGCATGATGCAGATGGAGTATGAAGTTTTTGGTGATGTGTTAGCATTTGATGCAACCTATGGGAAAAATAAGTATTTATGTCCTGTAGTTGTATTTTCTGGTGTTAATCATCACAATCATACGATAGTATTTGGGAGTGCTATTGTTTCAAATGAAACTGTAGAAACATATATATGGGTACTTGGGCAATTTGTAGAAGCCATGAAAGGAAAGTCTCCAATGTCTATTATCACTGATGGTGATGTTGCAATGAAAAATGCGATAAGAAAGGTATTTCCTAATTCACAGCATAGATTGTGTGCATGGCACTTATTAAGGAATGCGACAACTAACATTAAGAAGCCAGCATTTACAAAGGATCTAAGAAAATGCATGTTGGGTGAGTATGAAATTGGTGAATTTCGAAAGAAGTGGTCTGAAATGTTGAACAAGTTTGAGTTTCATGATCATCCTTGGGTTATAGAGTTATTTGAAAAGAGGAAGATGTGGTGTACAACTTATATTAGAGGGGCTTTCTTTGCTGGTTTTAGGGCAACTTCTCGGTGTGAAGGATTACATTCTGAGTTGAAAAAATATATTCATCCGAAGATTAATCTCACGGAGTTTGTTCAACAATTTAATCGTCTTGTGAGTTATATGCGTTATAGGGAAGTTGAAGCTGACTTTGCATCAATTCATGGTGATCATGTTCCAGAAACAGATTTTCATAACCTTGAGCTATCGGGGGCAAAGTGTTATACGAAAGAAATATTCAAATTATTTCGTGATCAGCTTCATAGTTCATGTTTGATGAGGGTGATTGGTTGCAAGCAGACATTTGGTTGTTGTATATACATAGTGAGAAAATATGAAATGATTCACAAACAATGGCATGTGTCATATCAATCAACACCGTGTGATTTGAAGTGTTCATGCTTAAGAATGAAATCAGTTGGCATTCCATGTGATCATATACTTGCAGTGTTGGTTCATCTGAATTTATCAGAGTTACCAAAATGTTTGGTGTTAAAAAGGTGGACTAAGGTGGCGAAGGATGAAGTGAAGGGCAATGTTAGTACACGTAGGTGGGACTCTGAGAAAGATGCTAGATACTTGTCATTAATGGAGTATTTTAAAGAGCTTAGTACTTTGGCATGTGAAACATATGATGATTATGTTGATAAAAGGGATAAAGTTGTAAATGAATTAGTTGAAACAAGAGGTAAAAAAGGTCATGAATCTCAAGAAGGCAATGCATTGGGTGATGAATTAAGTGTAGTTATAAGAAATCCTGCCATTGCTAGAAGTAAAGGAAGGTCCGTTGTTGAAGGTTCATGGTGCAAAGGTAGGAAATCAAAAAAGAGTATTAAGTGTAGTT